TATCCCGCAAATATCTTACAATGGGATATGATTTTTCACAATAACTCAGGAATATTTGTTCTCAAACAAATTTAGGCAGTTATCATTTCTATTCCTCCTGAGATTGAAGAGCAGGATTCGGATGGAATGACAATAAATCAACTACAATTGCAACGAATTTCGAATAAATAAATTCTGTGGTGGAAAACAATGTGGTGGTGCGAAGTACAAAAGGAAAGAGTACCTCCGCCGCAATAAAAAACCAAACGTGAGTACAATACTGTCATGGGGGGGGGGGATCAACATGCCTGTTTCTTAGAAAAGCACCCTAAAGCAGTAAGGGGCAAAAATGGTATTGATGTTTATTTACAAGAATGATAGACATGTAAGTATTGAATGTTTACATTTTGTATCGAACTCTTAAGAAAAAAGAGAGTAAGAAGCAGATTTCAATAAAGCATGTTCTAAGTGAGATTATCGTAGCATATTTGAAAAAAAGGTCAGTCAGATCGAGTAGACGGTAAATGATAAAATCAACCTCTACTGCTGCAGTGAAGCCTATTGGACATACAATAGCAAAAAGGGAGAGACAAACATTTTGCAGATGGAAAATTGTACTTAAAAATCACGAATAAGAAATGCAACGTAACCTTATGCATACTTTGTTTTCCAAAGTTTCGAAGTAAATTGAGCAATTATTTAGTATATACTTCAGTGCATATTTTAAATGCTTTCATATACTAAATATTTTATGTATTTTTAATTATTTTATGTACTTAAGTATTTATCTACGCTTTAATAAAAGTACTAAATGACTATCTATCTATATTTACGTACATATGTATAATGAAATTACATGGTATTATTCATTTACTTGCATCAGTTATCTTCATATTGATCCTTTTTTGTAATTCAAAAATTAAGAAAAATAATACTAATAATAATGTTTGCAAACATTATTAAAATATAAAATTATATTTAGTTTTAAGAAATGATACAATTTATACCTATTCTATACCGAAAAATTAAATAGACATTTAAAATATGAACTAACCATAATATTTGTATGCCTATCCTAGAGAGATTATTTTTTCACTGGAATGCCCAGTGTCCTCAAATGAGGACGGGCTGCAATTTTAAAGTTAACACAAAATATGCTTAAATTTTAAGTTTTAAACTCTTATTAGGTCATAATAAATTAGATTTGAAAGATTCATTTAAAATATATGAAGTAGAAATAATTTGGGCGTTAATGGTACATCGAGAATATGTTTCCTTCCTTCAAAATATCATCAATGTCTTACGAGACTAGTGTGAAAGTGTGACAAAATAGATAAATTATCTGTTATTCATAACGGATAACTTAAATATTAGTTATACGTTACTCTAAATTCGCAATTCTTGCTAACTAAACGGAGGCATTTAAAATTGAGTCCTTTCGCAGACCCGCGAAGATTTGTACCGAATTCGAAAAATTAGTTGCGTTAAAACCCTGTTTATATACTAAACTAACGTAAAACATAGTTGTCAGGAATCGCTACAAATTACTGTTTCTTTTTTTATCACACTACTTAATACACTACTTTTTTAAAATGTAGCTACAAATTACTAAAGACACTACAAACTGCTAAAAAAGTAACGACTACAGTAATTTCCCTACTTACTGTGAGCTATTTCTAAACCCTGATATTATAATGTCATTTTACCAAGAGATATTGTAAAGAGTGATAAGGTTTGAAGCTAAATTTAACAACAGCAAAAAAATATAAATGTTACCAATAATCTTATTGAAAGGAGTATATAAAGTAAATTAAAATAAAATCTATGTGCTTCCGTCAGGATACAATTATGTTTAGTTTTAATAATATTCTCGAGAATTTTCTCTTAAATAAAAATTCTCTGGAACTGGAATTTTTTTATTTCTAGATAATATAAGTATATTTTGTTCCTTTTCGGAGATTTGCTTTTTAATAATTAATTAAAAAATGCAGTGAATATGTTTTAATTTAAACTATGAACTTCTATTCCAACTATGTGTATAGTTAAAATTCTTATCAAATTCGAACTACATAGTTGAAATTCTAATTCCAAGGGAATGATTTAGTAAGAGCTTAAATCACACGCTTGAGTATTCTTCCACTAAAATCATTTAGCACTGCCCTCATCTGCCGACCTTGACTTCTGGAAATTATTGCATATTTTGAAAAATTATTAATTCTAATTTAATTAATGTTCTAAATGATGTGATCTTCTTAGTCTAATAATATTATTGATTTAATTAATGGTCTTAATGGGCCGGGATAGCCTGGTCGGTAGGGGACTTGGCCCATGTTCGAAAGTTCGTGGGTTCTAACCCAGCCGGCCGAAGACTCCCCGTGTAGTGAATGGTGACTTATGCACGTTAAATCTGTCGAGTCGCAAAGTCCTCCATGTTCCCATAATAAATCAAAACCTCTGGGGGTACTGGATTGGAGATTGATCGTTCTCTGATTCAGGTCAAAAATACGATCTGTGGATGAATGAATAGATGCATGAATTGGTCCGTCCTATAAACGGGTGTGACGTGTGGCAGAAGTCGAAGTCTTGGTCATAGATGGCGCCACTGGAAAACAAGAACAATCGCACCCCTCTGCCTTAACAGGCATACGAGAGAGAGTGAGAAAATGATATTAATGATCAAATGAGAAGTTGTATATTTAAAATTCGATTCCTCAAGAACTATAAAACTGATTTCGCTCAAATTTTGTGTTTTACCATGAAAAATTACATGCACTAAAATTATGTAAAAATTACAAACCTTACTATTCAAAAATGCTTGTACCATTATAAATTTATAAATTAAGAATGATAAATATTTTCTAAAATTTATTTTTGTATGGAATTATTTTTGAATAAGCGAATTTTATAATTTTGTGCAAAATTTTTTTAATTCACTTAAAAAGTTCTCAAGATTTTTGACCCCAAAATAGTGGGGATATCCACTATCTGGGAAATATGGTTCTAATAATTTCTTCAGGAAAGCGGTCCAAAGTTTGGACCCCTTAATGTTAATTTTACCTTTTGTATATTTTACCATATCTCGAGAAATTTTTCAGCAAATTAAATACTTTTTTACACACAATCATAAAAATCGCTTATTCGAAGGTAATTCCATGCAAAAGATGACTTTTCGTAAATATTTCTTCATTTATTTAATAATAGTCGAGAACATTTTGAATTGCAAGGTATAGAGTATTTTTAATATCATTTTAAAGAATGTAATTTTATGAGGCGAAATTTATCGAATAGTTCCTAGGGCAGGGGTGGCGAACCTTTATACACCAACGTGCCATTTTTTCTAAAAAATTGTTTAATGAGCTCATAGACGTGCCGTCAAATAATTTTGACTTCGTGATTATTGGGAAAATAATAATACTTAACACTATCAACTCAAAACTCTTTATTTACATTGAAAAAAAAAAAAAACATTTTGACGTGTCTTAAAACAACTTAAAGTAACATCAGTGTGACTTCTGTTGTTGCAGATTCGATGACAAATAACTTATATTAGGTTGTTAGATGTTAGTTTAAGCAGGACTGTTAATTTTTTTTTGCTAGTTGTTTATTGTTAGCTTGTTTTTTATGTTTATTAATTGTTTTTTTAGCATTAATTGTTAATTTTTCATTAATAATTGTTTATTATTTTGTTTGCTTTTGTGAATTTTAATTTAATTGTTACTTATGCTTCATGGTGTAATAACATTCGTGTAATAGCAATTCGTTGTGTAATAACAATTGTGATCGGTGGCGTGCCCAAAATATTGTGTCTCGTGCCATATATGGCACGCGTACCATTGGTTCGCCATCCCTGTCCTAGGGAATCAAATTCTAGAAAAAAGATTATAATTTTAAATGCCTTAAAAAATTCATTTCGCCAAAAAGTGTTCGGGATACGGCGAAACACGTAAAAAGTAAAATTAACATTAAGGGGTTTAACGCTGGAGATCACTCCTAACGAAACTATTAGGACCCTATTCCATACTTTGTGGCTATCCCCCATACCTTGGCTGTCAGAAATCCGTATCGGTCGGGGAAAAAAATTCTGTTTATTAAGAGAAAGTAAGTTTTATTTGTAACTTGAAATATCGCCTCCACTAATTAAGTAGCATATTTGAGGTCACCTCTTTTAGCCATTGAGTCCCAGATAGGATCCGTTCATTAAATGAAAAGTTAATCAGGGTGGTATCTTTTCCATTTTGTGCACTGTACACCACACATATATCTTTTAGGCATTACTCATAATTATGAATTCACGGAAATATATACATTTGTGGGTTTTTTTTTTTTGACTCAAAGAATGACCTAGTATAAAATCCCTAATGACCTTCAATTTTGATCCCCCAAAACTTCGAGCAAAGTTATTTATTTTTTCGGAAAAATAAAATTACAAAGCATGCGTCTAATATAGTGTTACATAAAGGGCATATCCTGAAAATTTCGTCGAATTCAAAAATGTCCAATAACAATACTTGCCTCATTTGCTAGATTTTCATAAAATCTTGCTCTTCAGCTCTCAATCTAGCTTTTTCTTCCTTCACCAGAGTTTAGAAAGGGTAATTCTGTGAATCATCTATAAGGAGTTCATAAAAAGCAATTCTTGGAATTATACAGAATTGAAACTATTGTTATAAATTAGTTCCATCGAGCAAGAAAATCATCGCTTGTCAATGTTTTTCAAAACTAAAGCTCATCATCAATAAAAGTGAAATACCCTTTAGATATTGTCTCTGACTATATAACCCAGATTTTTGGAATTTCTGTTGTTAAATTAGCTTATTATACGCTTCTGTGATCCCATCCTGAGCTTCCCGGAACTTCCGGAATCCAACCATTTTCTCTTCCAAGAAAAGACTGACATCAAGAATAAAATGTTCTGAAAAATCTATTTATACGGGGGTCGCGATCTCAAAAATAAAATTCGAAAAGAAAACGAATCTAACATGCTGTCTTCGCACTTGCACGTTTTGTCATCCTTTTAACAGTGGCGCAGGGGTGGCGCTGACGCCGGCAGACGAAGGGCAGGTGTCGTAGAGTTTTATGGAAGAAGCGGCAGTGGGGGCGTTCAGTGGCGCGGGGTATGGACTGGCGCCGGAACGATACGGTCGCTACCGGTGAGGGGGCGACCGAGGGGTTTTCGCCGGCCGACCCGCCTTATCCGTTCTGGACTTCCGTTCTTCTTCTAATTTCTCTCAGTAAGTACTAAACTGTTCTAAAATTTAATATTTTTCTACCTCAAAAATATTAAAAATGCTTATTCAATAAATGAGCTAAATAGGACTATTCAATATTAATTTTGCAATTGAAATAATAAAAATTATTTAATGTTTATTTAGCAAAAACTTTAATTTTTAAATTAAATGAGGTCTATTTTGAGGATATTTAGGAATTGCAAGAAAAATTCAGAGTGCAAACTTAAAGTTCATCTAGAATTTTCGCGAATGGTTTGCAACTTGCGCAGAATTATGAATTTTCGTTATTGTTTTGTGCAAAACTTTAGATTTTATTTTAAATTATCGATTTTCTTGCAATGTAAGTAGCATATTAATTTTACTGAGCAAGGATGTTTCTACTTTGCATAACTACAATTTGCATTTCAGATGTAATCTGAAACTCAAAATGGTATATTTTCGTTCATTTTTTTTCCCTTACTATTTTCCAATTCGTATAATAGACGCGTCTTATTATAACTGCATTTCAAAGCTTAGCTGGAAACGAGTTTAACTGTATAAAATTTCCTGCATAAAATAATTTTTTTTTCATTTTCGTAATGGTTTTTAGCTTATATCTTAACTTTTTTATAATTATTCTTTTCATTTGGTAATTATTTTTATTCATCTTCGTGTGGCCTATAAATAAAGAATTGCATTTAGGAAAATTGAAAGAAGAATGTTTCTTACAATAAATTTAAACTGTTTAAAAATATATAACGAATACTTTTTGTAAAAATTATCTCTGCACTGAGAAAAGTACGGCTAAAATTACCAAAATATGGTAAATTTTACCACGCTTCTGCTTTTATGGAAAATATAAAAATCTGAATAATTTTTCCGAAGTACTTAGGGAATGATTTTGATAAAATTAACAATATGGTTTCATGAAAAGTGATAAAATTTGGAAAATTTCATATAATTTGGTAATTTTATCATAATACTTAAGAGCATTGCATAAAAACAATTTATTCGGTTTAATTTACGACACATACAATATACAAAATATACAAAACATATTATTAAATAATGTTTTGTATTTTTTCTAAATTTGTGATAATATGAGAACTATAATTTTGAAAATCAGAGCTTCCGGTAAACCTTTAACATACTAACAGAAAAAATATCAAATGAATAAAATATTTGGATTTTATTAAACATAATTATGTTCTTTTTACCAGAAATGTAATTACCGTACTGTACGATAGTTTTACTGGAATTATTTTACCATGTAGTTGAAGAGAGTATTTTTGTGAAGAAAAATACATTTTTGTATTGTGTATCTATTTCATCGTTTCCATACTTATTTTTTACTCAACAATAGAGAAACTAAACTTTCGCTTAAATATTAAATTCAGTTGGCATTTAAAGATTGCATATAGGTAAGGTGAGATGTGGGCAAATAATTTAATTTTATTGAAATATGCACTGAATTTTAATTTCATTTTTCATTTTCTGAACAATTTCTCTATGTTTATAACCAACAAAATTATCAGTTACGATCATAACATTAATAGAAATCATTAATGCATCTAAAAAAATTTCTTCTTTTTTTTTTGTAATCATGCGCCAACCTGGAAATTTTTATTTCAAGCATTATATATTATCATCGATAATATTAAAATTGTTTTTAAAGCATTGTTTCCTTTTTTTTTAAATTTTGTTAAACTTTATTGACTTCTTTTTAAAAATTTAGCAAGCAACTATTTACTTGATTGCTGTTCAGAATTGAATTTTCTGTTGTTTGTTTACGTGTTTAGCGCAATTTCCTTTTGTAGTGCATTGCATCAGTATTAAGTATAAATTGTTTAGAAATGTTATGTTCATTTTACAACAAAAGAAATTTAATACGTCATCATGCTATCATAAACTTATTGTTTTTATATGATGCTTATTGCTCTTGCATGAGGATGTATGTAAATCTAAGGTGGGCAATATTTTTGTAAAGACTTCCAAAGTCTACGGAAAACTAAAAATACTAAAACTAAAAATTTTGCCAATGTACTGAAAATAATAAGAAGATAAAAAAAACCTTTACAGGCTGATTATGGAATTCAAACTAAAGGCAAACAACGTTAAAGAGCACAAAAAGAGTTTTTTGTGCTCTTTAACGTTGTTTGCCTTTAGTTTGTATTTTAGCATAAAGGTCGCCCACTAGTGTATTTATGATTATGAAATTATTAGGCAAATAGTATATTTCCTCATATAAAATGGAACTGAAATTTAAAAAAAAAAAAAACTTAAATTGAAAATTAAGTTTTCTTGTTAGTAAATAGTCTTAAAGATTCAGTAAGTTTGGCTATCTTTGAACTAAATATGAACAATTTGAAATATTTAATATCGAATGAATTAAACAGTCAGTATTCAATATAGTTTTTGTGTCAAATGCTCGATATTACACGGAAAAACGATACTGGTAAAATTATCGTACTGAATGAAAATGACAATTCTGATTCAAATATATCATTCTGGCGAAGCAGAACAAATTATATACAGTATTCAAATCATTCATTTGGTAGTTTTTCCGTTCATGTGGTAATGCATGGTGGTTTACCAGAAATTCTGATTCTCAAAATTATAATCCTAGAAGAGAGAAGGCCTCAGCACGGATCAATTTAGTAGTACAGCGTAACGAACATAAACTGCGCAGTGGAGGAAAATAAGAAAGATATATATATATATATATATATATAGATG